CCTCGCCTGCCCACCAAGCACAAGCTCTTGAGTTCGATTCTCGGTACCAAAAAAACAACCAAAAAATAACAAACATGTTTTTCCTTTCCTTCTAAGCATCTTTGTGCAATGGTCACATCTAGAATGGAATAGTGGCCTCACTCCCATCCTCAGTACACCCTGCCTCTACTAACCAACTGCTAAGTTTCTTAATTCTGCAATGCATATACATGTTTACCATCACTGGTTAGTTTCTTTTTCTTTCTTTTCTTGGAATAAGATAGGCTGTAGTTAAAATTCTAAAAAGCCTGGAGATTTTGCTTGCCCTCAATTTCAATGTGAACCAAACACAGGATGTAGGAATCAAAACAAATCAATGTGTAGTTCTGAGTAATACACAATTTCACCTACATGAAGTATTTTACACTTGTCCTGAAGACCATACTTTAAGACAAATCAGTGATAAACCAGAGTAATAACTAAGACTGTGGTAGTTGCAAAAGATGTAAGGAACTAAGAATATCTAACTGGGGAAAGAAAAAAAATTAAAGAAAAGGGTTATATAATAGAATCTTTTTTCATATTTGAAAAATGCAGCCACTAAAGATCAAAGCACAATAAGGTAAGTGGGCTCCACGTACATAAGAATTTTCTATCAGATTGAGGTAAAGTCCATCTATGCCAATTTTCTGTAGGGTTTTTATCATGAATAAGTGTTGGACTTGATCAGAAGCTTTCTCTACATCTATTGAAGTGATCATGTGATTCCTGTCTTTGGCTCTGTTGATATGGTGCATTACATTGATTTGCATATACTGAACCATCCCTGCATTCCTGGGATGAATCCCACTTGGTCATGGTGTATTATCTTCTTGATGATTTGCTGCATTCTATTAGCTAGTATTTTACTGAGAATTTTTTCATCTATGTTCATTAGGGAGATTGGCCTATAGCTCTTTCTGGTTTTGGTATTAGAGTAATACTTGCCTCCAGGAATGAGTTTGGGAGATGTGCACCCATGTTTATAGCAGTACAATTTGTAATAGCTAAATCTTGGAAACAACTCAAATGTCCATCAACTGCAGAGTGGATAAAAAAGATGTGGTATTTTTATACAATGGATTATTACTCAACCATAAAGAAAGATAAACTAGAGGCTTTTATAGGTAAATGGATGCAACAAGGGACCATGCTCATTAGTGAAATAAATCGGATTCACATGTGCAAACATCATATTTCCTCCCTACTTTAAGAACCTGAAAAAGTAAATAAAATCTGAAAGGTACAACAGATACTGTGAAAGGGAAAAGAAACTGCTCAAATAGGAAGGAGCAACTGGGATGAAGGAAGGGAGAGGAAAAAGAAGAAACAGGGAAAAAAATATGTATATGTATACACAGGATAGCTAGGATAATTGTACTAGTAATATCTGTTGGTTTATTCAAAGGAACTGTTAATGTGTAATCGTTTGATCAATCTTGCATGCCTATAACTGGTTATACATGCAATCATTTTGAAGATGACATTATGTAATATAACAACCATTGTTAATATCCTATCATGATGTTTTGACATTCTGTATCATTTTTATTGTTTTCTATGCTGTTTTGCTTATGTGTTTGTGTTATTTTGGTTTTTTCCTCTTTAAAATGAAAAACAAAATTTATATGTATAAGATAGCTGGGATAGGTGCATTGCTCATGTCTGTGGTTTATTGAAAGGAACAGTCAATACTTAAAATTTTCTTTTTTCTTGACCAATTTTGCCTGCTTGAATCTGTTAATCAGAAGGACTGATCTGAAAACAGCAATATGTGTATAAGAATGATTGTTGAACTCCTACCATCTTGTATTGTTTGATCAATCTTCCATTCTTATGTCTAATGAACTGAGCAATTTTGTTGAAGATAACAGTATGAAGGTAGCAACCACTGTTAATACCTATCATTTTGTTTTGAGGTCAAGTATCATTTTTGTTGTTTTTGTTTTTGTCTTCAATGCTGTTCTGTGTTGTTTTGATTTTGTCTTCAATGTTGTTTGGTAGTTTACTTTTTAAAATAAAAAAATGAAAAAAAAGAATATCTAGCAATTTGAACTGTCCAAAAAAGTGATGGACTTCTTTATTAAATTCCCAAAGATCAGAGTGTTAAAGCAAAAGGACTTATTTCTATCAGACAGAAATACTGCTGAATAGATTCTTTCAATAGGAGACACAGCAAAACAGAGTACTGCCTCCCAGTATGTGAATCTTGGCACTGTTACTGCCAGTCTTGCTATGGAGTTGTGGGGCAGGGTGCAGGTGGGGTGGAACCATTGCTGAGAAGCCAAAATGCCTGACTTCTCCACCCTAGCTTCAATAAAATGTTCTGTTGATATATCCAGCTTCTTCTGCAGGAGCATTGGTTAAGAAATGTGGGGGTCAAAGAGAAGTAGTATGCCTTAGAATAGATAAAGTTCAAAAATTACAGAAAAACCTGATCTAAGGTCTCTTTCCTTTTTAATATTCTGTGACTAATTCCTACTTTATTGCTATATTCCAGAAAAAGTAGACTGTCGTCTTACTGAGGGATTACTGCAAATATGATTAATGTCTATGATCTTAAAAGCCTCCTTTTCTTTCAATAATGGGCCTTTTAGAGGGAATTATCTAGGTAAGCCTCTCAGTGCTTCACTTTGCCTGTGTCAGCATAGTGCACGTTCTGTCTGAGGGAGAATTGATATTTCTCTGGGAAAATTTAGTGTTCAAACCAAATGCCCTTTACTTCAAAAACAAGCAGGAGCTGGAGAAAAGTAAATCTTAAAATCTCATGAAGTTACACATTTTATATTTGTACTTCTGTAAAATAAAAATTTTACAAAATTATATATAACTTAATTTTAAAGTGAAGATAGTACACTATCAAAATAATTATATAGGGGCTGGGGATTTAGCTCAGCAGCAAAGCGCCTGCCTGGCAAGCGCAAGGTTGTGAGTTCGGTTCCCGGTACCGGAGAAAAACCAAAACAAAAACCAAAAAAAAAACCACTTATATAACTTACCCAAAAATAACATAAATGTGTTATGTATTAGAATACTAACAATGGAAAATAATGTATCAAAATTTCAGACACTTGGGTCTTTTAAAATACTCATCTCAAAAGTCATATTGCATTTCATGATTTGTATCTCTGCCAATCACAATTACCACAAAAATCAATTTATAGGAATTATTTTAAAAAGCATGTTTTGAATTACCGATCTAGTTTAAAAAATTAGCACAAACCTAACTGTATCTGCTTTCTTACTATCTTAGTCACATTAGCAGATATCTTGGGTATAACTCAACTAGGAACTATATTTTTATCTAGTACGCCTCAGAAGTGACATTCATATATTCAATTGTTTAGAAGTAATTCTAAAGATTCACAATCTATTTTGGTAAGGCACAACAGGCAATGGTAACCCAGGAGTAGACAGAGTCCACTCCCATTGCAGCAGTTCTGGCTGATCTCAGTGTGGGAATCACAGCGTGGCCATTATTTTTTTTTCTACTGATAGTTTTTTAAATGTATTTTGTAACTATGTTAAGTGGCACACCATACCAAGGTAACTTTCTTAAGATAAAATGCTTGTTGACACTCAGATACAAGGGTGTTTACTGTAGTCTACGTGGTTTTTCATCAGTTATAATTTTTAAGTTTATATACAAAAATTTAAAACATAACCATTACACAACATAGCAACTTTGACTATTTCAAAATGCTTTCGTACTTTTGCTCTTAGGAAAGCATCTATGTTTTCTCACAAAAAGTAATGTATTGATGGCAGAAAAGTATGGAAACAAGGGACAGCAAAATGAGGGGAAAAAACCTTTGAAAATGCAAAATAATTAACATTAACAACAAAGGTAGCAGAGATTTTAAGGACTCCATTTTAACTGCAAAATGCTGATTTAATTCGTGTTTCTTTCTCCCCTGTAAATCCACCCCTTTCTTTTCCCCTACAGGATGCTCAAATGACTTAAACATTTCATGAAACCTGGATGATGTCCTCATCAGAAAGTACAGAATAGAACCAACCTTAATGTTACATATGAGAGATTCTCATTAACTATATTAACAGAGCAGATTACTATTATTAATTTGAAACTATGTCTTTAAGATTGTACATAGGTAAGTTTATGTGAAAATATAATCAAGTTTTCCCTTGAAAACTATATAATAGACTGAATATGATAAGACTTACTTTCTTAAAATTTATACTATGTAATTCTTGATTTCTACCAACTACATTTAATTTTTAATTTTTTGTTGTTGGTTTTTCACACAGGATCTTGCTACATAGTTCAGGCTGGACTTGAACTCACTATGCAGCTCAGGCTGGCCTCAAACTCACAGTAACCCTCTTGCCTTGGTCTCCCAAGTGCTGGCATTACAAGTGTGTGCCACCATGCCCCAACTCAACTACATTTTTAAGAAATAGAGTTTTAATTTTGAAAGTTAGAATTCAGAGAGAATGTAGCTCCCATATTTCTCTTAAATTTTAAGAGATTTACATTTATGATATAAATAGATTTGCTGAGTTAAGAAAACCAGGGTCAAATATTTTTTTTATGCACTTTTAACCTATTTCCTGCTAAAAATATTTCAAAGTTTCCTAATTTAAGAACACAGATGCTAAGCAAACAAACTTAATGCCTGGAATGCTTCTTACACCCTTCTTATAACTAGTAAGCTTTGAGATGGGCTACTTTAAACTTTTACTGTAGGACTCATGGAAAGTGACTTTGTTCTTGTATGTGGCAATGCACAGTCTCAACATTTTTTAATGCTTTCTAGAAATAAGGGTAAATCTAATACCAGAGATTCTTTTCTAGAGAAACAGGTACAAAGATTAGGTAGGTTCTGTGATATATCAGGTTCATGTTTCTCAAGATGTACCATGCCACTATCTAGATCACACCAGGCTGCATGGTTTCTAAAACTTCAAGCTTAATATAAAGAAAGATTTGAGGAGAGTAAATAATACATTAATGTTGTTACCTTTTAGCCGGTGGCTTAGAATCTGTTCCAAAATAGCTGCAAAGTTGTTAAACTCAGGAGAAGAATCATCAATTGTCTCAAAGCAAGACCGATCAATCAGGGTCTTCACAGAAAACCTAAGAAAAAAATTATTGTTGCTGTTAGGCAGAGTTAATTCACTTACATAAGTATGAAAAATGGGAGAAAGGCAAATATGTGAAAAATTACATTTTATAAAATCACATATTCTAATCAATGAGTAACATGGCTATTAGTTGAGGGGCAGTGGGCAAAAGGAACCCTTCCTCACCATTGGTGGGAGTGCAGAGTGGTACAACCACTATGGAAATAAGTGTGGAGATTCCTCAAAAAACTAGGATTAGAGGTTCCATTCAACCAAGCTATTCCCCTTCTGGGTATCTTCCTAGAAGAATTAAAAACATCATACCACAGCAATATACATGCACCCATGTGCACAATTTGTTATAGCTAAATCTTGGAAACAACCCAAATGCCCATCAACTGAGGAATGGATAAAAAAGATGTGGTCTTTTTATACAATGAGTAGTACCCAGCTGTAAAGGACAAAGTGGAGACTTTAAAGTAAATGGATGCAACTTGAGACCACACTCATAAGTGAAATAAATCAGACCCCCATGTATAAACATCATATCGTCTCACTAGTATGAGAAGCTGAACCAGTAAATCAGATGCAAAATGTGAAGAAACTGTTTAACCGAAGAGGGGAACTGTGATGGGGGAAAGGAGAAAGGGAAAAGGAAAAAAAAAATACACACACACACACACAATAGTTAAGACAGTTATTATACAGCTAGTTGCTCTTAGTTCACTGACAAGAAAGGTTTCTAGTAATACTGTTTGGACAGTATTTCACACCTATATCTTGTACTCTTGAGTAGCTACTATGAAGATAACAATATGCAATGTATTGTTATTCTCTTATTATCTTGTTTTGAAAGTCTGCTTTCTCCATAAATAAAAAAATTATTTATTCTGAAAACTATTCAAAATCACTCTGTAAACAGGAAAAAAATTACAGAACAGTTAGACTTTTAGCTTACATATTTGGTCTATATACTGTGGTGGGCACACGTCTTCCTCAAATTTACATGCTGGTACCTAAACCCCAGCAGAAAAGTTAAGAGTGGGGATGTTTGGGAGGTGCTGAGGGCCTTGTAATTAGTATCTTTGCAGAGAGACCCAACGGAGCTTGTTACCTCTTCTGCCATGTAAGGACACTCAGAAGACACCAAATATGCTGTAGAGCCCCTCAGCAGATACTGAATCTGCTGGCACCCTGATCCTCATTTCTTCAAAACTGTGATCCATAAATATCTGTTGTTTATAAATTATCCAGTCTAAGATGCTTGGTTATAGCAACCTCAAAGGACTAAGACGTTACCTGCTGACCAAACTAAGACTCTGGAATAGTTTTGTCCTCACAGCCATGAAAATCAAAATCAAAACATGACTTAAATTATTAATCCCAAAATACTCAGAAGGCATAGTACTATGGATAGTTCCAAATTTATGATGGTTTGACTGTTCTTTCAACCTTGCAATGGTGCACAACTGTACACATACAACCATTTTGCTTTCCATTTCATAGTATTTAATAAATTACATGAGTTACTCAACATTTTATAACTAAATAGGCTTTTTGTTACATGATTTTACCCAAATGTGTTTTCTCAGCATCTTCAAAGTAGACTATGCTAAGCCACAATGTATGGTAGGTTAAGTAAACTAAGTTCATTTTTGACATAATATTTTCAATTTAAAATTGGTTTATTGGGACATAACCCCATCTTTGACTGCCAAAAATCAATGTATAATCCAAATCTCAGCTCGAATGCCATTTCGGCAGTGAAAAATTATCCTCCTGCATATTCCTAGAACAAACTAGCAGTTTGTATCTCCCTTGAAAGACAATTACAATTTAACTTACTGCTGTCATTTGTGTTACCTATCTTTGTCTTATCAGAATATAAAGTCCTACAGGGCAGAAATAGGTCTTTTGTGTGTTGTATCTTCCTCAGCACCTGGGAAAATGCCTTCAACATTGTACTCAGTAAGTACTTGTTGATTTATTTGAAAGCACTACTCTTTCAAGAATAGGAAAGAAATGTTTAAATGTCAATATCACAGCAAAATTGAAAAGTCCGTGATATTTAATATGTATTATTTCATATACATATTAAATACATATACAGATTCACATTATATACATATATAGATTCACATAATCATCATCAAACACATTACACAAAACAGATCTGTCACCACAAACAATTTTGTCTTCCTATCCTTTTATATTTGTATTCTACAAACAGCAGGGATAACTATGAAAGCTCTTTAAGTAATTAGAAACAAAAGTAAGACGATAAACGAACACCAACTTTTTCTTATGTTTTAGGCTTTGTTATGGTTTGTGTCTGGGTGTCCCCCCAAAGCCTCATGTGGTCATGGGGCAGGCTTTTAGAGTTTGATTGATTATGGGTGTGAGAGCTACACCCGCCCTGGGGTGGATAGTTTGCATATGTAAGGGAGGGGAAGAGGCTGCTTGGAGCCATTCCTTCCCCATTCCTCCCTTTTTAGTGCTTGTTGCTTTGCTGTGTTCTGCCGCCATTGAGCTGTAGCCCTCTGCCATGTGCCACTCTGCCTTGTAATCTGCCAAGTATGGACTGAAACCTCCACAAACTGCAAGTGAAATAAACCTTTCTTTCCTTAATTTTGGGCGTCAGGTATTTTGTCCCAGCAACGAGAGAAAAGTAACCAAGACAGGCTTGATAGTTGTACTATTCAATTAGGATACAAAATATAAAGGAAAATATAAAGATTTGTTTATATGAGCTTGTTTATATTTATTATCATTTACGGCTTCAAAACTGAACAGAAAATTTTAAACATAGGCAGTCTTTACTAACACCATGGTATAGGACCATAAAAACAACTGTGCAAACTGCAACTATATAAAATTATCTTAATAATCTGTAAAAACATTATGCAGGTATGGTGGGAACACGTGTAATCCTAGCATGATTAGAGGTTGAGGCAGGAAGACTGAAACTTTGAATCTACTGTTGGCAACTGAGTGAGACCCTATCTCAAAATAAACAGACAACAGACAAAGTAGATTATTTTGGGAAAGTATCAAAAATATGAAATTTCATTCAACATTTATCCTTTTCAAAACTATATTTTTACTCAAAGACTGGAAAAGATATATTTTTACTTTTCCACATTAAATTTTAATTAGAAAAATTTTGTTTAAGGGAAAACAAACTCTACTGTTGAAGGTACTATCATGCATTAGAAAATACCTAAAACTAGTAAAGATGGTTGTTGAACCTTCAAACTTGGTTTGGAAACATCCACTGCTACTACTCACCAGTTAAAATTATCTCATCAGCTCATATGAGATTTTAAATAAACTAGATGCTGAATAAAATGTGATTCCTGTACTTGAAAAACTCACATAAAAATTAAATTTTAATATATATAAATATATATACAGATTGAATATAAATATGTATGTATACACAGATGTAGATGCACACACACACATTTAAATATCTTTCAGAAAATACTTTGGACCCTTGCATATGAACTTACTTTGTTCACAAGGGCTGGTTGTAACTCAAGTGGTTGCAAGTCAAGACTATTTTTCCCACAAGAAATAATGGAAATACCCATAATGCATTCCAAACCTCCTCAAGTACCCCTTAACTAACCTTTTCGTAATATGGAGGATTGTGTAATATATGTAATTTACCAGAAACGCCATTAATTTTCCTAGTGTGTTTACCAGAAAGTTATAAAATGTGCCTAGTATACTTTGTGGATTAGAACTATAACAACTAAAATACATGGCAAGAAAAAGAGAAAAAAATTAAGACAGTAGCTATAAATTAAAATAAAATAACATTAAGTATAATGAGCTAAATATCCTAAATAAAAGACTAAAATTATCAGACTAGGTACATTGCAAAATTTGATTCTATTCTGCCTAGAAAGGAAACTTTAAATATAAGAATCCAGAAAGAATGAATGTGAAAGATGGAAAAAGATACCACACAAGCACTAAAGACATTTGTTCTAATTATATTAGTAGCACATAAAATAGACTTTCAGGCAATAGCATACAAGGGGACATTTCATGACGACAAAGGAGTCAAACTACAAAGAAGAAATCACAATTCCAAATCTGCATACAACTAGTAAAATGGCAACAAAATATTCACAGGAAAAAATGACAACTAGAAGGAAAAGCAAATCTAAACTCAGAAAGGTAGACTCGTAACATATCTTACATGTCTCAATACCAAATAGACTAAGCATATAAAAAAAAACTAGTAAGGATAGAGAAGATATAAATGACACAACACAAAAGGCTTAACTGACATGTATACAACATGCAATCAACAATGACATGACATAATTATTTTTGGATGCACAGGAAACACATTGAAATTATAAAGCATCAACAAAACTCCAAAAGATTCAAGTCTTTTAGAATATGTTCTCTGCACAGTGGAATTAGTTACAAATCAATACATAAAATAATTAGAAGATTGCAACTGCTTGAAGGTTAAAGCACACATTTTTAAATAATCCATGACTAGACAAAATTAACAAAGTCAAAAACTTATTCTTTGAAAAAATTAATAAAATGTATGAAGCCCTAGTGTAGAAAAAGTGAGGAAGACATCAATTACCAATACCAAGTAAGTTAACTGGACAATCACTACAGATCTTACAAACAATAAAAATATTCAGAGAATATTAAGAAAAGCCTTAATAAACTTCACAGTATAAATGAAACGGACATATCCTTGAAAAATTTATTGAAACTGATGGAAGAACCAGAAAATCTAAATAGTTCATTCACCATTAAATTGACCCTCTTACTAAAAGATTTCCCACAAAGACCATCTGTGGTTCAGATGCTTCCCTGGCAAATTATTCCAAATATTTAAGAAATAATGTTAATTTTACATGAACTGTTTTTTTTAGTACCAAAAGAAGAACATTTCCCAACTTGTTTCACAAAGCAAGATAATCTTACAGACAAATATCAGACAAGGATGTCATAAAGGAAATTACAGACCAATCTCTCCCAGGAATAAGTATGCAAAAAATACCAAATTAAATGTTAACTTTTTTAATCGAAAGGTACATCAGAAAGATTAATACAGCACAACCAAGGGTTTTTATTCCAGAATGATTTAATATGCAGAAATTAATCAACAATTCACTACATGAACAGACAAAAAGAGGGAGAAGTCATGTTTATCCTTAAAGATTGTTTAATGGAAATGGACAACTGGGTCCTAAAACTTAGTTTGCAAAAGGCCAATAATACCCAAGATAATCTTCTAAAGTAAGGCTAGAAAACATATCAAACATCAAGACGTTTTAAAGCTATAGTTAATAAGCTAGTGTGGTATTAGCACAAACACAGACAAATAGACCAATGGAACAGAAGAGGATTCAGAAACAGTCCCACAGTGACTCAGGCACTTGATAAGGTACATAAGATACCTGAGAGCAGTGGGGAAAATACAAGCTTCAAACAATGGCACTAGGTCAAGTGATTTGCCTTAAGGAAAATATTTAATCATGACTCCTACTGTATAAATAAAAATGAACTACAGATGGATTTTTTATATTAATTAAAAAATAAAACAATAAAGCTTTAAAAGGAAACAGGAGAATATTTTCATTACTTTGGAGTAAATTCATTTCTTAACCAGTTCAGTGTTAACCACAAAAGAAATTTACAAACTAAAACTAAGAACTTCTATTCATCAAAACATACTATAGAGTGAAATATAAAGCCACCAGTTGGGAGAAGCAAAAAATACACTGAGCAATATGCTTGTGCTATTTGTACTTCCCTGCACGTGAAAATCAATAAGATTTATTTTGTTTGTTTGTTTGTTTTTCTCCGGTACCGGGAACCGAACTCACGACCTTGCGCTTGCCAGGCAGGCGCTTTTGCCACTGAGCTAAATCCCCAGCCCCTCAATAAGATTTATATTAAAAATGTAGGGACACAGTAAAGCTAAGGATAAGGGCAAATGCATTATGATGTTATATATACATATACATATAGGACATCATATAGGATATATATATATATCACGTAGAGATTGGCCACAAGTATGTTACTAAAATTTCTAAGAAACATTCAAGTAGAAGATATAGTTGTGGTTACATATCCATGTATCTAGTAGATATAAATAAATTGCATAGAAATACAGTATGAAAACTGTTAGCACTAAAATGAGACAGACTGCCAGGTGTGGTGGCGCATGCCTGTAATCCCAGCACTCAGGAGGCTGAAGCAGGAGGATCATTGCAATTTCGAGCCAGCCTGGGCTACAAAGTGAGCTCAAGGCCTGCCTGAACTGCACAGGGAGACCCTGTCTCAAAGACAAAAAAAAAAAAAAAAAATGAGACAGACTATCACACAGAAATCTACACAAAACTACTTTTTTAATAAGCAATGTTCTTGATAATAACTTCAAGACTCTCTGTGATTGCTTCTATTGATGATCCTCAATTTACACCTATAAAGTGTTATCAATGCACAATGAGGTAAAAGCAAATAGGGGCAGAAGAGTGCAGACCAATGCAGTATATATAAGCAGCTGCCCTATGATGATTTGGAATGAATATATTTTATAAACCTGTAAGTGTGAAGAGCAGACAAGCTTCGAACATGCCCCCATGAATACTGTCTCTCAACTAAACTTTTGACATTTGTCAAATGGCAATGAAGTTGAAATAAATACCCCTTACCAAATGCCTGCTATTTGTTGTGACTTAATCTGAACCCAGTTTAGCTGGAGGTAAAAATAACTTTTTGTGAAAATTCTATGAAGACCGGCAGCTGAAGATGCTGGTCCATTTTGAACATCTACTAGTAGCTGGGCACTAAGAATCCTTAAAATGATGCCGAACTTGCTCTACAGCAATAGATCTAACTCAAGGTCCCAACCCAAAGATCTACTGCATACACCGTGACTAAAAAAACTGTAGTTGAAAGTATTATGGACAAGGTCTGAACAGACTTATGAGGCATACTCAAGGAAACAGCAACATGAAATAAGGCATTTAATATTGTTTAAAGGATGATACTGCCAATAATAATTCAGTAAAGGTTTACTTATCTCCAAGAGACACATTTTCTAATTATTCAGCAACCAGACTATTAAGAGGTTTAGACTGCTAAATTTTACTCATGTAACTCGGGCCTCTGGGCCTTTTTTTTTTTAACATGGAAGTTTATCAGATTTCCCAATTCACAACAATTAGGATCAGCAAGTCAAGATTGGAAGTGCTAAGAAAAGAGATGATAGAAACAGACAGGTTGTAAAATACAACAGCTAACTTTGAAGGAAAAAAAGCTAACAGAATGTAAAAACACAGAACTTTTCACATGTAATGTATTAGAGCTATTTAGCCAAAAGGTCTGAAAACAGCCACTGAACAGTACACAAACTCACAAAAATAGATAGCCACTATATTATGTTCTGCATAGTCTTTCAAAAGAAGGTAGAGAAATGTGTAAACCTTTTATACAAGCCAATTCATTCAAAATGTTTTAAATATTATTTATTGTGGTTTAAATTTGAGCACTTAAAGTACAAGCTTCATCTATGCAGACGATTGTACTCACATTAAATAAGTAAAGCACTACAGCTGATGGAAGAATTATAAGCTTAAACAATAGTTACATATAAAATATGAGCTTTTTATCTCCTGAGTACACTGAAAAAATGAGGTACTAACGTAAGTTATTAAAAGTATTTTAACTGAGAAATCATCCTTTGTTTCCACGGTGCTTAACTTGTCACATTACCTCCTCAAATCCATCTTGTGAGTCCTTTTCTATTCCCAAGACAGGAAAATGATGAATTTGCATAGGAAGCTTCTCTTCAGTATTGATTTAAAAGCTTGACAAATGTTATTTTAAAATGTCTATGCAAACTATTAAACATGTATAATTTTCTCATAAAATTTTGTTAATCTATTGAAAGATAATTTAGGTTTTAATGTTCTTTGCCAACACAACTTAAACCAAAAGAATACATCAACTTTTCAGTAATCTTAGCAACAGAAAAATGACTAATACCTAATTTTCTATGGATGAAAAATGCCAGTTAAAAAGAAGTCTGAAAACTTCAACAAATGAATTTTTCAAAGTTCTGAGTGATACAGAATATACAGAGAGAACATTAGTTCACAGAGCCAAAGTCAGTCTATAAATATTTTGGAATACAGTATGAAAGATTCAGAGTCCTTAAATGACCTACAGTTATATGTTCTCTGTACTTATAGGCTCCGGTAGATACCATACAAGTGTTCTAGTCTACTATCTTTAAATGTTTACTAAAAAAGTAAATAATTATATATAAAATCATGAAGAGCCAAAATTCAATTCAGCTTTCTTCCTGACTATCTTATCTAAATAGCCCACTTCCAAAATTCAAAACTATGCTAATATTGCATGTGGTAAGGCTTTCAACATAAATGATTTGTAGTTCTGTAATGACTCAGAACCTAAACCCCGACCCGACGGTGCCTAAACTCAAAAGCATTATTGTGTAATAGAAGCGCTAGTATCGTATTTGGTAGTGGGGTTTTGTTTTTATTTTGGTTTTATGAACTGTTAAATTTTTTCAGAGCACTGGCAAACAGTAACAAAATGGGAGGTACATTTCAAAAAGGTTTTCCATTTACAAGGAAAAAACCACATGCCCCATCTAGCTGCTATTCTGCATGATTACTCTGCTCATATTTCGAGGAATTCAAATATGAACACATTTTGCTTTACTGTTAGGCCTATCTCTGAAAGTTAACCAAATACATAGTCCAATATTACATTGGAGATTGCATGGCTTGTTCTATGACACAGTATTAGCTAATGACAAAGTCAATATAGCACTCAGTTATATTTCTACTAGAAGTGACTTCTTCCAAATTTAAATATCAAATGATCTCTGATTGGAGATATTAAAAGTGAATTCATCTTCATCGAAATTGGTCAGATTACCAGATATAAGTATGTAAGATTAATCAAACCATTAAAGAAAATAAAAAAGAAAAACAAAAAAACTATAAAGGATAGAGTTTCACCTAACAAGATGATAGGAATTTAACAATGGTTGTTATGTTGCGTATTATTGTCTTCAAATTAGTTGTTCAGATTGCCTGCTACAGGCACGCAAAATTGATCAATTAAGCATTAACTGTTCCTTTCAATAAACCATTAGACATCAGCAATACAATTATCCCAGCTATCCTTCTGTGTATATATATATATTTTTTCCTTTCCTTTTTTCTTTCCTTTTCTCCTTTCTCTAATCCCAGTTGTTTCCTCTTTTGAGCAATTTCTTTCCCTCTCCCAACATCTATTGTTATGTTTTGGGTTCCACTTACTCTTCAACTTCAATGAAGACAAAAATATGGAATATAACAACCACTGTTAATCCCTATCATTTTGTTCTGAAACCTTGTATCATTCTTACTGTTTCTGTTTTTGTTTTTGTCTATGCCGTTGGCATTTTGCTATTTTTTTAAAAATTCTCTTTAAAATTAAATAAAGAAAGAAAGAAAAGTGAATTCATTTAAAGACATGGGTGAAATATCCAGAAATTAGTAGCTCTGAAAAGTAAAGCGGCATATATAAATACTTCTTTGGTTCATTTTGCCCAATTTGTGGTGGAGGTACTTAAAACCTACAAATGGCCTATACTGACTTTCTCAAAACAATAAAAGTTGTTTAGACAAAGATCATCTAATAGGCCCATTAGTCCACATAGATGATATTTATATGCACCATCGACTATTTAGATAGGCAAAATAGCCTTAACATTATTTACATTAATAAATATACAAATTGAAATCTACCCAGAAATTGAAATGTATTTTAGGTCCTATACTAAATGCAAACATATATCCTCTTCTTTTCCTCAAACTGCTCTGATGAGGGCACCAGTGAAGAGCAAGTGATTTAAAACCAACCAAGATTAAAATGGAGAAGCAGTAGGCATAATGCCAACACTGAATCTCTTCACTCATAAATATTTACGAAATGTCAGATACTATACAAGGAAGAATTTGAAACACTACGCAAAAGCCAGTGAGATTACTGCTTTTGTGAAGTTTAACTCTGTGGAGCTTTTATGAAATATGTTCCTTCAAGTCACATGGTGTGTGCTGGAATCTGACTTGAAACTATCATTTTTTAAAAAATAATTATTTTTTAATATCTATAAAGTAAAGGTAAGACAACAGGCCTAGCTTATTGTTCTAGTCATCTATCTTAAAATATTTTCCTTAATTTAAATTAATAAAGCCTATTTCTCTCTAAAGATTGCTCTCTACACATCACAAATAGTAGAGCCTGTATTATCTACCACTTAAAACGTAGTGTCACTACTGTCAGCGAGGCAGATCTTCCAGACAGACGAATATTTATAATAATCCAAATTTTAAAAAAGTCACTCAAAGCTGGGCGTGGTGGTGCACACCTGTAATCCCAGCACCCTTGGAGGCTGAGGCAGGAGGATCGCCACAAATTCATGTCAGCCTGAACTACACAGCAAGACCCTGTCTCTAAAAGCAAAGAAGCAAAAAAGTCACTCAAAGTTATCAAGTATAACTCCTAGTACAAATATTTACATGGTGCTTACTTAAAACGCTACACAGACTTTGCGAGAAAAATAGATATAAATTACAAAGGAGGAAAAGGTTTCCTAGCCATCTGATTACCACTGATGATTAAAGAGTTTAATGGGACAAATTTGAAAACAACAGTTAAGAGAAGTTCCTCAAAAATGAATGCCTAGAATTCCATCTTTAAGAAGATACCCAGGTAGAAGGCTTAAAATAATCGCCATATTAAGAAGCAACTCTCTGGTGACTAGGCTCGGAGCTAGTGATTATTCCTTTGTTTGTGCATCTTCTGGAGGAGAAGAAAACTACACGTGTAATTAGAAAACACTGAAGCAAGGCAGCCCTTGGGTACCTCGCTGACACGATGGCCAGGCGTGCCCCGGTCCCACTCTCCCGCCAGGGCACGGCCGGCACGGGGCTCTAGTTTGCCAGCGGCCGGGACGCGGCGGCCGCAGCACACAATGGCTGGCTGCGGCTCAGCGATGTGCGTGCGGAGGAAGAGCACGGAGCCGGCGGTCCACGGTCCCAGCCACGAGCCGCGGCCGCTGGGGCGAAGTCGCGCGCGCAGAGGCCCCGGTCCAGCAGCCGGCTGCCGTAACGCGCACGGAACCCAGGCGCTCTCCCGCTC